CCTTGCGCCCCGCCCCCCCCCTCGCCGCCCGCCCCCCCTGCCCCCCCGCCCCAGTCCTGCTGTGGCCGGTCCCCACCATTTTGCCCTTTTGTCTCCCCAGCAGGTTTGCCAAGTATTACAAGCAGAATGGGACCCATAGACGAGTGTTGATCAAGGCCTATGGGATCCGTGTCGATGTGATCGTGCAGGGCCGGGTGAAATGTTGGGGGTTCTGGCTGCAGGGCCCATTTGTTGGTGGTGGTGAGGGGGGATGTGTGTCCAACCTCACTGCCACAGTGCTGGGGCTGCCCTGGAAGAGCAGCTCTTCCCCACTGCTGCCTCAGAGCAGGGATGAGCACAGCCTGGCCTCTTCTGCTCCCTCCTGCTCAGTCTTGCAGGAGATGGGGGATCCCAGGTGCCTTAAATAGGGGCCTTTGACACTGTCTTGGCTTCCCTTGAGGGATGGCTGCATTGCCTGTGTGTATGCAGTGCTCTGGAAGGAAATGTAAGACCTCATCGTGTGTGGCACCACCTGGGCAGGGTGCCCATATCCGGGCTTGGGCAGGGGGAGGTCTCTGCTAAGCCCCCTTACTTGCACCCAGTCCAGAGTGGATGCAGGCCCAGGCAGGAGGCAACCTGGGCTGGGTGGTGATTGCTGACCCTGTCTCTTTCTGACAGGCAGGGAAGTTTAGCCTGATCCCCACTGTCATCAACCTGGCCACAGCTCTGACCTCAGTGGGAATGGTGAGTATTGGTGCCATGGGCTTGGCCCAGCTGCACATGCCCAGCACTGACACCTCTCTCCCACTTTGCAGGGTTCCTTCCTCTGGGACCGGATCCTGCTGAGCTGCATGAACAAGGACCACGTACAGCAGCAGAAAATTTGACCAGGTACCACCCTGGACCCTGGTTTCAGGCTTGGCCCTGGAGGCTTAGCCCTCTGAGGTAGAGCGGTGGCCACGTGCCCAGGAAGGCAGGGCAGAGCACCTGGGCATGGCAGCCATCTTCCCTGCTCCAGCCCTGTCTGAAAGCCGGCAGAGCGGGCAGCAGGGTGGGAGCTGCCAGGGCATCCAGTTCCTCCAGCCATCTCCCACCCCTCAGCAGGCTGAAGGTGCTTCGGAGGCTGCTGCTACATGAGGTACATCACCCCAGGGCTCTCCAGCCTCTAGAGAGTCTGACCCTCCTCAGGTACAGCTACAGCTGGAAGGGGCCACTGTGCCAGGCTGTGATAACATTTCCTCTGTCCTTGACCAGCCGGGTCCCACCCAGCTCTGAGCTACCTGCTTTTCCTGCGCCAAGCTGCCTGTGGATGGCCGAGATATGCCTGACAGCTCACCTGCTGCTGCTGCCGCCAGCAGCCACGTCCCCTTCTCTTTCCTCAGCCAGGCTTCAAGAAGCTCCAGGCAGGTCCTGCCCCATGGCTGCCTGCTGCTGTGAGTCCGTGGTGATGGGAAAAGCCTCGGCCAGGGGCAGGACTGTGGTGCTGAGACCAGCTGTTTTGGTGGCTTTCAGGAGCCTTTGCTCTGGAGCAGGAAGCAGTGCCCAGTTGCTTCTCTGTGCCAGTGCCGGTGCCGCAGGGTAGTGGGGCTCTGGGTATTGCCATTACCTAGCCAGCATAGAGCACTGGCAGCCCCATCCTGGAACAGCTCCTGGCTGTGGACATCCAGGCCCTGCAGGCAGTGGTGGTGACACCACCTGTAGGCTTGTTATGATTTTAAGGCAGTGGAAAGAGCCAAGTAATCCCATGCAATCCTGCCCATGAACGTCCTAGAGGGTTAGTTGAATCACTGCCTTATGGCAGGGGCAGATACCTGGCAGAGTGCTCCATGTGTCCACCCCTCTGCTGGTCCAGGCCTGCCTGTATGCTTGGGACACTGTTGGTTGAGTCCCATGTATCAGCAGTGTCTCCTTTTACCTGGGCCCTGTGGCTCACTCCATCAACTGCTGTTCTGTGTTACTGCCATATTATGTTACTTTTCACCTCTGGGGACAGCTTGCCTCTTCCTGCCACTGGTAAATATCTATAACCTCTTCTTTTGAAACTCCACAGTGTGACTGTTCCTCAGGTTTGTCCTCTGTTGAAATTGTTCCCAAGCAGGCCAGTTTCATGCTGGTTAGTAGCAGGGAGCATAAGGACTTTTGGGTCGTTAAGGTTGTCTATCTAAGATCCTTGTTGGTTAGAAACAGGAAGTAACAAGGAAAGTCCTAAAGTAAATCCAAAGATACACAAAACGAGCAGGCACTAAGAGAGACAGTGATGAAGACCAGAACTCTTCTGTCATTGATTGATGGGCCATTAAAGGAACCACTTCTTAGCCTTGAGGGCCAACCTGAACTTTGTAATTGATAGTGGGAAAAGAAGGGGAAG